TTTCAAAACATTTTGTACCTATCTAGACTTTTTAAAAACTAACTCTTGCTGCTACAAACATACCATTCACTGCTAGTTTAATAAGTTACATATAATTTGATAACTGATCTATATCTAGTAAAATTAAAATAATCTATTCGAGAAGGACTGGTCCCATTAGAAAAGTGCAAATGGGGCTAATTAAATCCTCAATTATTACTATTACGACCAAATTTAAATCAAGATTTGAAAAAAAATAACATTGATAAATCATGTTTAAGACGTTCATATTTTGTACACATAAATAACGTGTCACTAATATTTAGTTAGATGAAAATAAATTATGTTTGAGGAGGACTGGTCCCATTTGAAAAGTACAAAGGGGGCTAATTAAATCCTCAATTATTACTATTACGACAAAATTTATATCAAGATTTGAAAAAAAATGACATTGATACACTATAATTGTCGTTAAAATCATTATCTATAAATACTGAGTATTTTTAATATTTAATGTGATAAAAATAAATCATATTTGAGGAGGACTGGTCCCATTTGAAAAGTACAAAGGGGGCTAATTAAATCCTCAGTTATTACTATTACGACACAAAATGTACATCAACAGTTTGTAAAGCATTGAGAAATTATATTTGTGTCGTTGAAAAATGTCAATACCTACATTTATATTTAATACATTAAGTTTTTAAGAGACCTAGTAATAGTTAAGAAAATTGAAATATGTGTTTTGCCTATCCTAGCTGCAATAGGAATATGGGTCATGGGCAAGCCAGTTTTTGAGACAGCAATTTTATGATATACATACTTGACATATGATTTTTTGCCATATTTGCCATTTCAATGAGTTCTTCTGGGACTACTTGATGAGCTTCTTCCAAAATCGAAATGAGATCTTTGGCTTGTCGCATGTTATTTGTGGAAAAGAATGTATAAGCAATGCCTGCTTGTTTAGAACGACCAGTTCTGCCAATTCTGTGTACATAATCTTCAGAAGAGTTGGGGTAATCAAAATTGATTACATATTTCACATCATCAACATCTAATAGACAAATTATGTTAGAATTTTAAACATTTTATAGTGAAAAAGACTATTAAATTTACCTAATCCTCGAGCAGCAACATCAGTGGCAACCAAAATTGGTGATTTACCATTTCTAAATTCATTCAATACATGATCTCGGTCTTGCTGGGATTTATCACCATGCATAGATGTCGCTATATATCTATTAACATAAAGTAAAATTATTGGTACATTATTAAGTGTAAATTTTTAATTTTATAGAGGTACCCTTCATTTTTTATTTGTCTAGTCAGCTCATCAACTTTCTTTTTCTTTTCTACAAAGATAATGGCTTTAAATCCAGGTTCATTAGATATTTTCATTAAAAGATCAAACAATTTATAATCTTTTTCATGATCTTCACAAACTTCAATTAACTGTTGAATATTATGGTTGGCAGCAAGTTCCAAAGACCCAACATTGATTTGAATGTAGTCGACTAGGAAATCTGCAGCTAATGCTTGAACCTCTTTTGGCCAAGTTGCAGACCACATTAATACTTGTCGGTCAGGCTATAATAATAATTCAAGAACCAATATAAAAACACACAATATAAATACAATGGAAATATAAAAAATATATTATTTATTTACCCTTATCTGTTCAATGATTTTTCGAATTTGAGGTTCAAATCCCATATCTAACATTCTGTCAGCTTCATCAAGTACTAAATAAGTCACACGTTTTAAATTTGTGGACCCACGTTCTAAGAAATCAATTAACCGCCCTGGAGTAGCAATTACAATTTCAACACCATTTTGTAAATCATGAGCTTGAGGACCTTTAGGAGTGCCACCAAAAATGCAAGTGTTGCGAATACTTGAGCTAAACATTTTTGCAACACTTTGTATTTGTTGGGCTAACTCTCTTGTTGGAGCCAGTACTAGAGCAATAGGTCCATCTCCACGTTGAAGTGGCTCTTGATTACTAATGTGCACTGCTGCTGGTAACATGTACTAAGAATATTTGTTTGATTAATAAAAATTAAAGTTTTAATACTTTTAAAAATATATACATACCGCTAATGTTTTTCCAGAACCTGTCTGAGCAATACCAACAAGATCGCGACCACTTAATGCTATTGGCCATCCTTGAGCTTGAATCGCAGTGGGTTCAGAAAATCCTTGTTTTTTTAACTCTTGAACAACACTCTCAGGAAAATTACCTTCAATAAAGAATTGACTAGGATCAGGGACATTAGCTCCACGAATTGTGATAGCTTTGTCGACACGATATAAATTTACTTCATCTGGACTCCTAAAAAAAACGGAAAGCATTTTTGTCTCATACATCACAATATACAACTAAAAGTACTTGAGAAACCAAAAATAAAAATTTACCTGCTGACAGTATCTACATGTGGAGCATAAAAATCTTTTTTGAATGGTTGAAGAGGTTCACGACTCCAGTTTGGTTTTCTCAATAATTCGCCAGGTGCTTTATTCATTGGTTTAAACATTGCACCACCAAAATCTGCATTTTCTGTGTTGCCATTTTGAGATTTCCAAAATTGATTGCCATAACCTTGATTTTGGGCTGTACGTGGTTGTTGATACCTTTAGTGATAAAAATAGTAGTAAGAAAACATTCATTATTTTTGTATTCTTTGAGATATTGTAATAGGTACATGTTTACTAATGAGAATAAATAAATAGTAAATATGAATCTCTTAAAGGCATTGCATAACTATAAATGATCAAAATAAACTAATTTTAAAGGGGAATGCCATAAACCATTTAAAAATAGACTGATAATTAAATAATTAACTTTTGATTAAAAATAATAAATTTTTATTTAAATTGAAATGAAAGTAAATCATTTAAATTTTAAGACTCAACAGTTCATTTTAAATCCTAAATAATTGAATAGTAGGAAATCATAACCAGCTGGAAATGAATAGGTAAATATATTTTGAAACTAGCAAAGGAATCTCAAAAGATATAGTTATGACAAATGTGCTAAATCAAAAATTACAGTTGGAATATAATTTTTTAAATACCCAATATCCTTACATCATTTATTATACCTAGTACAACTAATCTATTTATTAAATTGTGATCATAAAATAATAATTTATTAGTAGCTCAGAAAATAAAAAACGATATTAAGGTAAGTACTATCTGCCCTACTTGCCTATATTATATTAATTGCATAATATAAAATCATTGGAAAGATAACCGAGGAGAATAGGTTAGATAATTGGAATTAAATAACTTTTAACTAAATTATTCAACATTTTTCTTAACAAATAATCAAGTCAGAATAAACTCTGGAACGTTAAAAATAATTTAATAATTAATAAGTATAAAATATAACACAATATCAGGTAGGAAAATAAAATAACCTCTACATTCTACAATACCACAATTCTAATTTTACAACAATATTATTTATAGATACTTATTGTATACTTTGTTGTTAAGTAACATTTAATAATATCATGGTCAGCATAGCATTAATAGTAATTTCTAATTATTCCACCGTACGTATTAACTATTAAGATAATCGATTTTTAACATTTTTAAATAGAAAAATAATTCAAATGTTGTAGGAGTCCAAACGGTTTTCAAATTATACTGTATAACTTAATTGGAATCCTTTGTATCACTCGACCTATCATACATGTATAGATACTACATTGTAAATCACGAAGCTATAAGGAGAACCGAGGGAAGCTGTAGCATTGAGTACCCCAAAACTATTGAAAAAAAAAAAAATAATAAACCCATATCTTCTTTCAGGCGAAATAAATTGTAGAGCAAACAAATGAAATTTCCAATTTAAAATAAAAAAGGGACGAAGTATATTTATTACACATGTAATTAATTACATTAAATCACAGACAATACGATGACGGTAGCGTGCTCGACGGGCGAGTTACATGCACGACAATTGAACCGACACCACGGCGTAATATTAAAATACTAATATTAATAATATTTTAAATTGTATATTATACTCACATTGGATAACCCGTGTTGTTATACATATCGTCGACGCCGTTTCTAACTGAATGGCTGAACTACTATTAGCCGACAAAGAACCGGACGGGGGACAGATATTAATATTAGGTATAATAGGTAAATATGCTCGTCTCGAATACAACGCGTCGTTTATCGGATTTATTGGAGACAAAGCGTCGACGGTCGAAGATAACTCACCGGGAATGGCGAAAAACGGACAGGGGGGGTTTTGTTCGGTCGGTTTTTCGGTTCACGCGCAGACTGACTGGTTTCGTTGCAAACAGACACGACGGAACGGGTATCGTTTTAAGACGGAGAAGCGGCCATGTTTGAAAGTAGTAAGTACGTCCGTCGTCCGCCGCTCGTTCGTTCGGGTTCGACGTACGTCGCGCTCTCGCCCCTGCGTACACCAGCGATCGCCTCCCGGTGACGTAACGCGATGGGTAATGGATGAAAAAATCAAGCGCCCTGCTCTTTTCTTCCATGACATTTTGTAAATTCAAGGGACGGTCGCTGAACAAGAAGTGATTCCCTTCATAGTTCATCCGTCCTCCGACCAGTCTAGGGACCGCCCCCTCGCCATCAAAGTACAGCTGATGTGTCAGCGTCTGTTATATACTTATCTGTGTTCTGTCCATTGATATTTAAATTTGCATCGCAATTTTCTACCAACGATGCCGCCGACTTTACCCTTTTTTCTCGGCCATATGTTTACGATGCACACTGATAACCCGTATCACCATTCACCAACATAACATAATGTAATGTAATTAGGGCGTACAATTTTTTTTCCTAACGTCGTTTTCTACTAAGTCTATACACCTACATTACTATTTACTTTATTTATATTTTTACGTTTTATCACCTCTCATTATTATTCAATTTTGTTTCTTTTCGAGTTTCGTAATACTGTTCATACCCAATTCTCTTCAGTAATCAATGTTCAAATCAAATATATCATAATGGTTTGTAACAATAATTGCTATTGACTTATATTGAAGTGATTAATTACAATGACTAATAACTTATAAGTAATATTCGAAATGTATTCAGCCATATTCTCACACAACCTATGATGTACCCCATAAGTACATATTAAATTTTTGTTGATACTCTTAAACACAAATATTACATTTGGACAATTTTCAAATCAAGGTGAAAAAAAAACGATTACCATCACCTATGCAATCAACAGTCATGTGTAATATTATTTGAACTTCAACAGCTTAGCCACGCTTAGTTTTTCTCCAATTTACTGTTAATGTAATTCATAACTGTAAATCATTGTTGCGTGTAGTATTCAAATAACTGTTATTATTTATTAGTAATGGTACCTAATATGTACAAATAAATTTCTTGTGGCGATATGTCTTATTGTCTTAGCCCACATCATTTAAGATACCTCTTTATTCTTTAGACAAACTCTTAATCCACATATCATATTTAGTATAGCTTAAGTATTTCCTTATGAATTACTATTTGAATTGGGCTTATATTTATGAATTTAACTACAGTTTCTTAAACTTTTAGTTCATTGATTTGGTATACTATCCTTAATGGCACCAGCTGAAGAAGAAAAAGATGTGCTGGGGTGCACATGCAACTTGGCCCCCTTTGATGTTCCTAACAAGTATTTTTCAAAGCCACATATTGAAGCATTTTTAAGAGGATTAAATAGTTTGCGAAAGAATAATGTTTTCTGTGATGTGCAACTTGTTTCCAAAGGATTTTGCATCAATGTATGAAGAAATTGAATTAACTATGTTATTTTCATTTTAAGATATACTTGCACTATTTACATATATAAATTAAATCATTGTTATAGGCACATAGAGCAATTTTGGCTGCCAGCAGTCCATATTTCTATGCTATGTTTACTAATGGATTATTGGAAGCAGGTAAAAAATCTATTGAACTTCCTTCAGTTTCTCCCAATGTACTTGAAACACTTGTTAACTTTATTTATTCAGGTAAGAATAAACACATATTATATGTACATAATGTTTATTGAATATAATAATTAATTCAATACTTGTAATTTAAGGAGAAATAAATATTTATCAAGAAAATGTAGAAGAACTAATGATAGCAGCAGATATGTTAGAACTCAATGATGCTGTAAGTTGTTGTACAGAATTCTTGAAAAGTGAATTAGATTCAACTAATGCTGTTGGATTACTTAGGTAACAATAAAAAATAATTTAATATATATTTAATTTGTATGTAATTTTATCAAGTTGTACTACATAATATGTATCATGCATAAAAAGGTTTGCGGATATGCATAATTTTTCTGTTCTACACAAATTATCAAAAGATTTTATATATGGAAATTTTGTTCAAATTTGTGAAGAAGATGAATTGGGTGATTTATCTAAAGATCAATTTATTAAGTTTCTCAATAGTGAATATCTTTGTGTAGATTCTGAACAACAGGTTAATACATTTTTGTTGTCCTTATTATTATATTTATTAGTATACTAAGTTTAGTTTTTATTTAGGTATTTCGTGCAGCTATGAAATGGATTAAACACGATCTCTCAGACCGACGTCGCTACATATTTGAAATTCTTTCATGCATACGTATACCTTTAATGAGTACCCAGTTTTTAGAACGTGAAATTAATGACAATACAGATGCAAGCTTGAGAGTTGCTTTACGTTCTATTTATACAGACATTGCCGAACGTATTGGTAATTTAGTAGCTTTACAAGTTGAACCACGGTTAGGAGCCAAAAAAGATATATATATATTAGGCGGGTCTAAAAGAGAAATATGTAGTGCCTGGTCTCGATATTCTGAGTCTACGTTTGAATCTGTTGTCAAATTCAACACTTTTAGGAAGTAAGTGATCTTTATTTTTTTTCAATTCATCATTGATGTATTTAATTTTATATTTTAGGGAATGGTGTGATATAAAACCAATGAATATTGGTAGAATAATGCCAGGAGTAGCCATAATGAATGGATGTATATATGTTGTTGGAGGCGAAAATGAATCACTTATCCTTTCAAATGGGGAATGCTATAATCCTATTGAAGATGAATGGACTTCTGTTGCTGGAATGACTGTCCCACGATGTGAATTTGGAATGGCTGCATTAAATGGATATTTGTATGCCATTGGCGGATGGGTTGGCGATGACATAGGTGGTTCTATTGAAATGTGAGTCTTATTTAAATTATTATTTAATTTAATAGGATTAAAATTATTAAGATTGACTTTTGTCTAGCTATTCCCCATCATTAAACCGATGGACAATGTGTAATAGCGTGCTACCTGAACCGCGGTTTAGTATGGGAGTCGTGTCATTTGAAGGTGTTAAAAATAATGATTTAATTATGTATTGAAACTAATTTGTTGCTATTATAATTAGGTTTGATATATATCGTGGGAGGGTGTACTCGCACTAAACGACATCTTCAAGACTTATTGAGTTATAATCCAGTGACAGGAGAATGGTCTATTTTGGCACCAATGTTGGTTCCACGTAGTCAAATGGGAGTTGCAGTTTTAGATAAACATCTCTATGTAGTTGGTGGTATTACCAGCAACAATGAGGTGTTAAATTTGGTTGAACAATATGACTTTGAAGAAGTAAGAATTGTTAGCAAAATATAGGCATGTAAAATGTTTTAATTCTTATATTTTGTTACAGAATACTTGGAGCTTTGTAACTCCAATGAAGGGTAAACGTGCAAGTCCAGCCGTTGCAGCTGCTGATGGAATGTTATATGTAATTGGTGGCGATATAACGCACACAATTAATTCATACCGGTCTCAAATTACTATTTCTACAGTTGAGAGATACAATAATTCAACTACACAATGGGAAGATCTACCATCACTCCCAGAATCCAGAAGTGAGGCTGGTGTCGCTGTATTGTAATTTATGAGCACAAATTCATCAGCGTACATATATTTTTTAATTTTTTAAAGGAATGTATGTATATTAATTATGTTTGTTGTTATCTACTATGTTTAAACAAGAACGCACACTTATTTGTTTTATACCTGGTCCTAATAATAAAAAACAATCAACTCAAAACATCAAAAATTTATTTAACCATCAAAATGAATAGATAACACTGCTGACTGCAATCATCGGTTTTGTACATGATGTCGTTTCCTGTTTTTTCTCCCATCATCTAATCTCTTGCGCTTTCCACCACTTTTCTTTTTTTCCCAATCTAGTTGTTTTTTTGAAGCATTGTCCCTTATTAATATGTCATCTCTTCCGCCAGATTTTTTTTTGCCAGCCGCATCCAACATTGCTGCAAACTTTTCTGCAGGCACAGCAAGATCTGCCAAGTTCTTGGATTTTCGTGGAACAACAAAATCATCATCATCATTGTCATCGTCACTTTCAGATTCCTCAATGGGCTTCTTAATTCTTTTAGATTTAGCTTCTTTCTCAAAACCACGGGAAAAATCATACTTTTTCTTCTTCTTAGCACCCATCATGCCGTCTAATAACTCATTGAAATCATCACTGTTAACACTATCAACGTCACTGAAACCATCTTCATCAGGATTTTCAACATGTTTTTTATTCTGTTTTGGTCTTTGTTTTAAATATTTGTATAAGAATACTTCATCTAATGGTATTTGTTTTTCTTCATGTCTTAAATATTCTTCACTTACTACAGACATGCTTTTTAACCCTTTAGGAGTATAATGTTTTCGAGAAGTACCAACCGATCTAAACAGTTCTTCGTTTTCTTCGCCTTGTCCTTGTCTCGGTTTTTTGGGGTTTTTAAATGAAAACCGATCAAGAAAATGTAATAAGGTAAAGTCTGCTAGAGGGTTGCCATCATAGTAAATAGATTTACCAGATATTATTCTATTTGCAAAAGTTGCAACAGTAGGATGATAGTGTCTACTTAAAGGAATAAGTTCAGCTAAAACTGCATGTTCACCTCCTGAAAATCTTGGATTTCTAGCAGTATAATCATAATAGTTTCTAATTTCTCTCTCCTTGGGCCCTTGCGGTAGCTGAGGTTCTTTTATTACTTGAGGAGCTTTAATGTGATGCCAAGAAGATTTTAGTGGTGTTTCAGCTGAATCTGTTAAATTGGATTGTACATCAAAATATTTTTCTTCTTCGATTTCTTCATTTTTAATTGTATCATTTAAAATAGGTACTGGTTTTGGAACAGTGTCAGTTGTAACATCTTCAAATATATGTTTACCAGTGATTCCTTTATGTTTTTTCATTAATCGCGACGACATACAAAATATTCCAGTTATTAAAGGAACTGGACAGTATAAGCACATCTGAAATATACGCTTCATAAAAGCAACCATACGTTCTGTACATTTATCATCCCAAATGGATTTGTAAATTAAGTGAATACATATAGCTTGATGTGACGTAGTGATCAATCTTTCATCAAATATTTTTTTATATAGTGCACTGTAGTATCTATCATTATTTTCCAATTGCCTGATTAACAACAAGGCTTGTAAAGATATGTTGAATGGAGCCAAATGGACAATCTTGTACATTGTTTGTATTTGTTCTGGTTGAATACCACTTCTTACATGAGGATACGATTTATTGACACCAACCAGTAAAGCTCCGATGAGTCGTGAATCAATTGCTCCAGTTTTCACACAAGCTTTAAAGAATGACAAGTAAAGTTCAATTACTTCCTTGGCCATTTCTTTAGTGTCAATTTGAGTCAAAAAACAAATGCCATAATATTGAGCTCTTTGATTGATATTTGAACGAAATAGTAACTTTCTGACTTCCTCAAAAATTGTTAGATTAAGATTTGATCGATGTTTCAAAACAAGACGCAATGTATACATAGCTTTCGATGCGACCTTATGAACTGTATCACCAAATTTATTCACGAGGTATTTAACAATCTGCATTTCACATTCAGTGCTATTGATTAATAATTTGTACATAGCTGAAATACTTTTTTCCCGATTTACCGGTACAGAGTCTAATCCAACAGTGCTTAGTGCTTCAACAAAACCAGAGTATAAATTTTTCAGTTTCTCTTCAAATAACCAAGAACTAAGCAACAGCTTACGCTGTTTCAAATCGTCCACCTTTGACAACTCGCTCAACGGCTGATGCTCAAAAGGTAACAGTTCGGTTTTCAACAATACTCTGGTGAACAATTCCGTTAAGGAATCAATTACGAGAGAACACTGTTGCTTTTTGCCAATTTTTACCATGTGTATGAGATTTTGCAATGCGGCAATGTTGTGCAACGGATCTTCTTGGATCTTTATGGTGAGCGCTGCGATCTTGTCAGAATACGTACCCTGTTTGGCGATCTCGGTGATCCATGACTTTTTTTGATCGGCCTGCGGCTGATGTTCCAATACTTTTTCCGCTTCGAATCGCAGGGCTTCGATTTCGGACGCCGAAAGTTTGGTGCAGTTACCGAACGTCGGTAGGTTTTCATACCATTTTGGCAAGTCGATGTCGTCAGCATCTGAGTCCGAGTAAAGTTGATCATAACCGTCATCGCGATCCAACTCGCTATCCGTCTCCGACGAACTCATACTTTTACCACGATCAACTACTTAATAGGTATAGAGAAAAATTGTTTTTTTTTTAAAGTTAAGTTAATTTGTATTTTGTAATTTGCTATAACTCTTAGAATAATTGTAGATCGTACCCGTATAATGCAATAAATAATAATGTATAATATTATATTTTGACATGATCATACCTAATGTTTAATATTTTCAATATTGTTATTTGTTATCCGATGTTCGAATTCAAGCATGAGTATTTTTTTGGTTACTTTACAGTGTGACATCCTGAACAAAAAACGATAAGTTTTTTGTTTGGAGATAAGAAACTTGAGTGTTGATATATTTTGTGATAATATTCCCGTTTCTCACGTGGAAACTGAAATACTACATAATTGTTTATTACAAAGTAGTATAATATACAGTTTGAACTTACGAAGTTAAGACTTACCTTTTAATTATTTTTATTGTGAGTACTATATGATATATGCAATGTTGTCTGTTTACGGTTGATTTTTTACTGTTTGCTGCTTAGATTTCTGTTTTGCATCGGAAGTGAAAACAAAATCAATGGAAGACAATATAGTCTTGAAAAAAGTCGAAGGTGGAAGTATCATAAGTCATCCACCCCTGTTCTCTGAAAATGGGAGGTTAGTAAAAAATAAAAATACATAATATTCATATTATATTTATTATTTTCTAACTAAAGTAGTACATGGTTTTATGTCGTGCAATAGACGTGGACTATTTTGTCCCTATGAAATCATATTACCTATTTGTGAATGGTTTACAATAAACTGATTTTTGTTCTCAATAAAAATTAGTTTCCTAGTGTTGAGAAATCAAGTTGTAGATATATAATTAATATAGAATTTGGAAAATAAAATTATGAATCTTTGGATAAGCCACTCTGTTGATGTCGTTGAGGTTCTTAAATTTGGAATCAATAACAGTTAAGTGTTTGATGAGTTAACCACATTTGATGTGCTTTGCATTTTAAGCAAATTTGATGATGGTCTATGTTTGGCTAAAAATAAAATTAAAAATATGTATCTGCGTTCTGCTAATTTTTTATGGTTTAACTTGAAGTTTACAAAGAAACAATCTGAAATACTTAAAATTCTAAATGATAACATTCAATGTTAATTTTTCATTCATAGATGTACAGATGTGCTGCTTTTTGTGCTTCTACTAACCCCCTACAATTATATATTTTCATTTAACTGATTTTAATGAATTTTTTCTTCTATATTATGTTTAATTATAATTTGGTCAGTCTTAAGTATTTATAAGTAAACGATAATTTGATATTTTAACTCTTTATTAAATTTTTAATTTTTCAATACTAAATATAGATTCATCTATGTGGGCTGTGGTGCAGATATCAATTGTTTTAGTGTGAGTTCTGGAAAGTTAGTAGCCAGTTATACTGCTGATCAAAACTTTGGTAGAATTGTTAACTTATGTTTTCATCCTTCTGATGATAAACTATTGGTTGCTATTCACTTCAATGCTGTTGTGGTTTTTTGGAATTTGATTGGAACGCAATCTGCCAAACTTTTGAAACAACAAGTAATAGTATTCAAGCTTATTCAAAATTTCATTAATTATCATGTTTTTTTTTTCATAGGAATTAGATTTAAAAAAATATAATGTGGTAAGAGCAAAATGCTTGTCAAGAAATTATTGTTCTTATGATGTGGATTGTGTTATTGCATCATATAAATTACGAGAATCTAATAACAATGATAGCAATATTGGTTTATTTGCATTGGAAGAAGGGACGCTATTATACAAGTTTGATGAAAAGTAACTTTTTGAACCATAAAAAAAAAATCATATTTAATGCATAATTTTATTTTAGTTTGGAGAATTTGCCTCATATATGGTCAATAGGAGGTTTTGAAGACGTACCTTATCTTGCCTTTGCTCATAAAAATATTATATATATTTATAATTTATTAAATTATAAAAAAAATAAGTATGTTAACTATAAAAAAAAAAAATTAAAATAATATTAAATCAATGGTATTATTAAATTGCATTTATCTTAATAGAATTAAATTGGGATCAGATAGAACAGTAACTGTTGTACAATGCCATCCTAATTCCAATACTCTAGCAATTGGAGATAACACAGGAAGAATTGTTTTGTATTATAATGTAATGCATAAAAATACAAGATCTCAAACTGTTTACCATTGGCACACACTTCCTGTAAATGATGTTATATTTACAAGTAGTGGTGAGACAATACCCTTTTTTCATAAAGAAAAATACATAATGATTGTAATATATTTGATTGCAGGAAATAATTTTTATAGTGGTGGCGCTGAAAATGTCTTGGTGAAGTGGTTTTGTGAAAATACAGAAACTAGACATTATTTACCCAGAATATCCGCCAATATAGTCCATTTATCTGTTACAGAAGACAGCCAATATGTTGCTGTATCCACACAAAACAATAGTAATGCATTACAACCAAATCAATTATTCGATTAATTTTTAAATAAATACATCAAAGTTATCACCATTTTATTTTTATTTTTTAGGTATAATAATAGTGAACTCTCAAAATCGTATACATTCTGTCATACAAACATTCACGTGGGGAGTGCATGCGTCAAATGTAAATATTTTAATTAAATATTATTTTTAAAACTTTTCAATACTTTTAATTTATTTTAGGCTGATGAATTTGAAAAAGTCTTCCCAGCAGGTGTTGCATTTGACAGTCGTTCAAGATCCCTTGTTACAAATGGATTCCCGGGTCACATTCAATTTTTTTCGCTTGACCAATCACAATTAGCATTTAATGTTAGTGTTTGTTTTTTTTAAGTATATTAGTAAATAATTATAATGAAATTTTGTACTTGGATAGTTGGATATTGTGTGTCAAAATTTTATAACCAGAACAAGAGATCAAGGTGTATTCAATGCTGATGTTTGTTTATTAGCAATAAGTGATGATAGCTCATGGCTAGCAACAGTTGAAAGAAGACCAATTGACGATAATTATGTAGTAGATGATGTTCTTAAGTTCTGGACTTTTAATGAAAAATTGCAAATGTAATATCCTAATATTGTTTATTTAAATTTATTTTTTAATCAAATTTGTATTTTGTTTTAGCTATAAATTAAATACTTACACGAGTTCTGTAGATAGAATTTCAAAATTATGTTTTCGTCCATCGGTAGATTCTGACGGTTTACATATGGTCGCCACATTACACAAAGATGTGTATAAACTTTGGTCCCCTTATAATTTATTGGAAGACGAAAAAAGTAAATACGAAAAAATTTTTGATTTCTTGATTAATGTTGTAAAAATAAATATTGAAATGCTATGTAATATATTAGTTATTACATTTTGATTGATGAATTTTTACTATATAATTTTTAGATCCAATTAAATCATGGCAACATGAGTACACAAGTAAGCTCTATCATAATCAACCATTACATGCAATCAGTTTCTCTGAGGACGGTTGTATATTGGCAGCTGCTTTTGGACCCAGTATAGTTTTAAAAGTTCTTGATGACTCAGACGATTTTAAAACAAGTCTTACTCATGGGTTTGAACATATTAGGTAAATTTATTTAATTATAACCTTAAGTTAAATTATTGTTTTTATTTTTTATTTTGAACGACCGATTAAGACATCAAAACTGGTTAACAGTGACTGAGTTAACAACTTTATGTTCATTTTTGTTAGAGTTCTGTTATTTTTAGTTTTTTTTTTATTATAATAGTATATATCTAATTATATTGATATTTTCTTGTATTACTATAATTGATTTTATTTTGATGTGTATAGATTTTTAGAGTTTGGTAAAAACTCGAGCAGTTGGATGCTTGTTGCTGCATCAAGCACAAGACTTTTGGTATGGAATGTGCTTAGTGAAACATTACTTACAACTATCTGGGTTCAAGTTGAAAGATTAATTGCTGATCCAATGTCAGAATATATGGCTATTTTTACTGCTAATAATGATTGTTAGTTAATTATGTTTTGCATAAAGTTTCGTATCTAACAGTTATATTATATATTTTTAGTGTTTGTTTTCACTCCAAACAGTAGAAATGTAGTGTATAAAAAACAAAATATATTTGGAAACAATAACAAAAGTACTTCTATTTTGTGGGCCTTATTTGCCCCAAAGTCAGATCATCAGAATGAACAAAATTCGTCGTGGTTGGATAACTCTACACTCTACATGTTGACCAACCAACAAGTAATTAATTTTGTTTTATGCTTAATATTTTAATAATGAATAAGTGTACTGATAATTCTAAACACTTTTTTAGGAACTTTTAAAGTTTGAAAAGACTGACACTCTCCAAAAAATGATCGAAGCTTTTGTGGATGATAATTTTACTAATCTAACACCTTTAGGACGTATTATTTCTAACAAAGAAATTTACCATACCACCAATAATGCAAATAAAATGCCCGAATTCAAAACATTAATTGATGAAGATAAATCAGCTTTTGAGGTAAATTTATAATATTATTATTTAAATATTTTTTTAACTTATATTTTGTCATTTTTTTAATTATTATTATAGATACTTGAAGAACCAGCACATTTAATGTTACCATTAGAGACTCAACTTGAACGTATTTTACTTGCGTGCTTAAAAACATAAGTAAGTTATACTTAAATTGTTTATAGAATGACATATATATTATATTATCAAAACAATCTTTCTTGATTTTACTGACAAAAAATTATTTTAATTTAATATTATGATGTGAATAACACTAATTCTTTGTTGTGTTATTAATTTGTATAATGTGACTTAAAAATGAAATATGTGCTTCTAAATGTTGTTCTATCCTAAATAAATAAAATGTTTATTATACATATATTTTAATGAAATTATTTCTATTCACATACCTTTGTTTTACTTATTATTTCATCTTAAAATCACATTTTGACTTCTTAGGTTTTTTTAAATTTGGAATTTTAACATTGCGCATACGAATAATAAAATAGTAGATAATTTCCAAAAAGCTCAATATACTTGCTCCAACAAATAATGCAACAGAACCACCCAACGAAACTTTAAAATACATCTTAATATATTATGAATTTTTAAAAACAGAAATTTAACATTTATTGAGTTTTACTTTACCATATTGTGGAGTTTTGACACATAAAATGTATTTTAAAATAATATCATAGCTGATGGAGCAGTATATAAGCCAGATGAAAAAATAATTCAATCATAAAATCTATAAGTGTGTAATAATTGTATAAATATTATTGCACAGTATATATTATGAATATAATTTAATTTAAAAACTATATTCATAAATCAATATTGGAAGTTATTTATTATTATATTTTAAATAACTATACGCAAATTTATATGAAATATTAATATTTTATACTAATTAGTAATTATAGAATATAAATATAAAAATACATTTACGCGTCAAATTTCCTCAGTATGGTTATATAAGTGCTAATCTAGTTTCACAATGATGTATGATATATTAGCTTTGTAAATTTAATTTAACTATACCATTTAAACAATCTTACCTAATACATCTAATCTTCCTCTAACAACATTACGTTTAAGCCTTTCTGCTGGTAATCGGTCCATCATTAATTGTATGACTGATTCGTTTTCATTAGTTCTAAAAAAATTTATAATTTTACATTTTGTGTTTGAAATTCATAATTGATTAACATACATAAATGATTCAACTGTTATGACATTTATTTCAGCTTCAATACAGGAGGGTACACAATCACATTCTAAACCTGGTCGCTTACTTTTTTTCTTTTTTAAAACCGATAATTCAGCATAATGTGTATTTAAACATATAAGTCCATTTATATCACATTGTTCACTTAATTCTATAGAAATTCCATCACATTGTTATTATTGTTACTTTATTCATATGGTTTTAGGAAGACATACTGCTGTTGGGCATTAAATGAGAAGTACAATTACACATCTCTAGTTGCTTTTGACGGCGGCAGTTAACAATACAAGAACTATAACTGTATTTTGAACTGACATCAAGATAATTCTCCAATGGAAATCTGCATCTAAACTTGTGTAAATATATTGCTACATGACTATTACGTTTTATTAAATTAACAAATCATTAAATCTAAAATTATGTTTTGTTATAAATAAATTAAGGTAGTTTTCAACATCAATTTATTTGTTTTTCTAATTTTTTTTATCAACCTTGAATATAACAAATGTATGTTTATTGTAATTTTTTCATACAGTTTAGTTTGTGATTTAATATTTTAATCACAGAAAAAATGTTTTTACCTGCGTTGTGAAATGCCAACAAATCTGACTTCGTCTTCATTTTCAATATCTTTAATAACAAACTTAAATTGTTTATGAATACCCATTGTAGCTTGTAAAATATCTGTACTTATTGTATTATAATATGGTACATCTACCACTGAGTGAATAAAAACCTGTATACAGTACACATGTAATAGAATTGGATAATTTTAATGTACAGCAACTTCCATATTACAGTCTTATGGGGATCAAAAAAAAAAAAAATTTGTATTATAGAGAGTTTTTTAAATAGAATTAAATAGAAATATTTTGTTAAACAAAACGTTTTGTTGAATGGAAGTTTCTCTGTATACATAGGTGATTTAAATCACCTGACAAGTTTCTACTACAATTATTAATATTTATAAAACTTGTGCCAACACCACAAATATGTTGTATAGAGACATATAGTAGAGATTTAATAATTATTATGTAAATATTACATAAAACGTTGTACAACAATATGGATACTGCAAAAAGTTTATAGGACCGACATAATGTAAACTGCAATCACCTGACTTGGCGATGACAATTTTATACGTAAATTGCTCGGACCTGTCTCCCGGTTGGAATACATGTCAATAAAATCATCGGAATTTGGCCTATATAAATAAATCTGTAGATTAAAAATTACAGACCTATGAATTTTTTTCATTTAAATGACATGTTAACATGACTATTGAGCTCATGTGCATACTAACGATTCATTTTCCATTGTAAGTGTGTAACAAATTCCTAGTTCAGTTTCAGTAAGAATAAAATGCTTGCAACAGTCAAAGTCACGAAGGTTGTTCCAAGTGCAATTTAAAAACACTTCATCGCAAGTACTTCTCGTCTGAATAAAAATTGAATATTTACACATATTTTATCATCTATTCAAAGTATTGGTGGTATTATACGATAAAATACGACAAGATTACAATAGATAGTTAAATATTTTTATGCAAATAATTAGTAACAACCACTCACAGAAATTGCTATTTTACTGAAATTATTTTTGGGGCAATTATATTGCCCAGTTATGCAAAATTCATTAATATAGTATGAAGTTCCTTTGAAGTAAGTTATCTCTTTTACAATCTCGTCCAAATTGAAATTCCTATTGTCTCCAAATATCCTAAACTCAACATTAATTTTATTGTTAAATAAAATGGGTATAACCATCAGTACTTGACTTTCTCCCGACTGAGTACCTTAGCTAAGCTTTTAGATATTTTATTGTACCCCTATTTTTTTTTTTTTTTATTAGGACAAATAGAACGGAACTTAATTTAGAGTTTTTTTTTACAAAATTACAAAGTTCATAATTTTTTTTTTAAACAAAAATACTGTTTACATACCTATGTGTGCAATTATAGATAGCATCAATGTCAACAAGACATGAGAAGATAAATAATATTTGATCTAAAAGACATGATAACATTATAACAATGTTATAAATAAAAATTATTTCCATTTATAGATTTTATTAAATAATACGTTTTTGTTTAAAATGTTAACTGTGTTTTATGAATTCCATTGAATGATTAGGCATCTCCTGCAGTTTCAGCTTAGTCCTTAAAGTATATCGTTATTATTAGAATTTGGAACCAACTATAGATATTTAAGACAAAAAGTATAATTACATATTAGTATATTACATAAAGGCTATGAGGTAAGGTTTATATAGGTAGGCTTATAGAATATATTATTATATGAGTAACTATAGGTTACTAAGTTACTTAGTTAAAAGTGTTAAAACATTTAGAACTAGGTGGGTACCTATACTTTATTATAGATCCATTAAAAAAAAAAATACCAGTATTGTAGATAGGCAAATGTCTATCATCTGCGCACACTAATGATGGTTGAAACTTTTTAATAAAATAAGTATAATAAATTATGAAATATTCCATATTTGTTGGTTTGTAGTAATATGTTTGAGGGTGTAATCACTAATCAGTGATATGTTGGAGGGTACAAGGGATATACACTAAACAGCTTAGCTTTAGGTAGGTCGTAGGGATTCAAATTTATTGTGTGTCGTAGGGGTAAATCCTATCTAGTATACCTAACTAGTATCTAAATATTTCTACTTTTCATTTTCAAGTCAAGCACTGACAACTATTCATTATAATAAAATATTAAAAAATGTTATACATCATATTGTACAAAATAGCTAGGTAATCACTAATCAATGTTACAATACATGTGAAAAATTAAAACCGATTTTACTTGTTGGCCAATTTTTGGATGTTGGCGATGTTGTTCATTTCACATACGCTGACCGCCGGAAAAGTCGTTTGAAACTCCAATGAGCTGGTTTCAACCACGAAACTAATTGCGTTTGTCTGATACGCTTCCCAGGAATTCATCATCAGTAATGCGGAACCAAACCAGCTCAGAGTACAACAAATAAACCAAAACAACCTATAAAATTCGATTATTAATAACTATTAATTAACATAAAATATTATAGCTATTTTTACAATAAATTAAATAGAAAGTTTTTCATTATTTTTCGGTAGGTAAGTATGTCCCCATAAATTTTATGTTTATCTACTCACATTAGGTATTTCGTATGCTCAAAGTTGTTTAGATGCTAAGCACATATTAATAGTAGGTATTATAAAAAAACAAATAATTTTGTTTTGCACTCAGCGAGCGGGCTCTACAAAGTTGATGAAGAGTGAAAAGTAAGATTTTTTTATTTTCATATTTACTTATATACTATAGTTAGGTTAAATTCAAATTTGAACCCTTGGTTTATGTTTTTAATTTATTATTAAAAAGAAATTGGGGATGGACGCGCATTGTGGTGAATAAACCTGTATAATATTATACAATTTGAAAATATAGGGACATAGGATTTAATATATTACTTGCACAGACCTAGCCTCTAATATACAGGATCATTCACCGTCTCACCAAGCACGCTCACCCCTTTTTTCATTTAATAATAATTGTATTCAAATTCTTTAAGTTTTAAATTTTTAAACACACTTTAAGCTCATATTTTTATATTCTTGAAATTTGTTGTACTACTTAAGGATTGGGGCTGTGGTAATATGAATGAGAAATAAGAACTTCGAGTTTTTAAATGAGAATACCCATTTTTTACTGTTAATTATTTAGTGGATAGCATTTTTGAAAATCTTGGAGTGTCTAATTCAAAATCGAGCACTTATAATTTCTTAGTTATTTTTAATGTTCATTGTTCATACTAAGGATAGTAGTCATTAAGAATGGTTTTACGCAAATATAAAATAGAAGTAGCCAGAAGGTAATATTAGATCTTGTTATTATTCAACTTTGACCATTTTTACAAATCACAAATGTCAATAGATTAATAAATTTAAATCGATTACTTAGATACTAAAATGTTCAAACCACCGTCATAGCCCCCATGTCTTCCAAATCTATTATCATGGTCCTTAGAGCTTAGTAGTTAGTACACAAAGTTAAATGACTAAAAAATGACTCGTTTGACGTTAATATTTTTAGAAAAAATATTCTGTAAGTAATTTACAGTAGGAAGGAGGGGGACGGTGTTCTCATTTGAAAAACAAAAGCTTGTAACTCCACTGGAATACAGGTTACTGATCCTTATGTAACTAGAACAAGAAACCTCATGAATTTGAAAACAGTCTTCAAGTATACCTAAAACTTCCAAAAATCAAATTTTGAATAATTTTGTTGTACAACAAAAAAAGGGGTTGAGCGTGCTTGGTAAATGACGCTGTTAAAAAAAACCTACACATAGGTTAACTCGTGTAGCGTGTCCCGTGTATCACTTACCTTTCGGTCCAGTGACGCTTAACGTTGCTGACATAGTGGAGACCGTGTATGGTCGATTGATCGGCAAATTCTTTTAACATTACTGCTCCTATTATTGCCCTTTTATAAATTATGCCGGGACAATTTTCTCGTTATTTATGTGATGAAATTTGTTACCGCGGTTTACACTCTATACGAGCGGCACTCCATGTCTATTCATGTAAATATCTACAATACGATCTCACTATTATTGTCAGTTCTGACGGGTTGTCATCGTCGAAACAATATTATTGAAAAAATATTAACTGGCTGTGGTCGTGACAGATACAATCTTTATTAAATAATAAATGCAGATTGTATGGGTATTGCAGTGCAAACCAATTATACTATTCACGGTGCAGTATCTATACCTAATAATAATAGTAATTCAAGTATGAAAAAAGTCACGCTAAAAAAAGGAAATAAATAATTTATGATGATATCACATATTTATATGTGATAATTACTAATAAGTCACACGACATATGCTATGTACCTTATCGTGTTATTTATTATATATTATTATTATAATACCATGATGATGGTACCTACCCCATACTTATTACTTATACGCCGTGGCCTGTATTATATAATGTCCAGTAAATCTAAAAGTTTATTTTTCTGCGACCTCCGTAATATTACAAGTGTAGTAGCTCCGGGCCTGCACAAATTTACTTGGTAATAGTTTTTTTTTTTCGTTTTTTTTTTTTTTATTCATTCGTTATTACATTATTGCAATAAGAGTAAGGCTCTAAAGTATTAAAAAAATCAAGAAATAAGCTTTAAAAAATATGTAATTACTGATTAATGAATAATGATTATATACCAAATATGCAGTAAAATATGTGTGTAAGCACTAAAAAACCATGTTATATATTTAAAAAGGTATGATTTTGGTTTTAAATTAATATAAAACAAACTACATTAGTGTTTATTAATTATTTATGTATTATATTGAATACTACGGCGATGTTTTCACAAATTTATTTAGAGGGCTACACCACCCCCCGGTCACTACTCCCCCCTAAAAAAAAAACCAAAATTGGTTCTAGTGTCTTAGCCTATGAACTATGATACATGAACACTGTATGTACAACACCTATTGGCTATTTCTATTAACATACTTACAATTTGCATAAAAACGGGCAGTGGCCATATGGCTGTATTGCTATATCGGTACCTATTACCTACTACCTATATGGCTATATACACAATTCAAAATATTCAACAATGAACTATTACATATAATAATGCATCATCTTTAATATAGGTACGCATTCATCGGTCTCCACACAGTCACCATCATTTGTGAAAGTTTAAATTTTTTGCTATTATATCAATTATTGAATAATACACCCAACCTTAGGTTAAAATCAAGAAAACCCCACTAGAGTACAACAATGAAGATGGAATACCTATCAAACTCTGATGGAACAAAGGACTAAAGGAGTGGAGTAAAAATTAAACAACAACAGGTATTGAGGTATAGTTACCTATCGGCTATCACCAATAGACAATAGTAGTATTGTGCCTGACCCGAATATAAAAGTGTGCCAGGCATGGATTTACCATGGGGTGTATCTTGTATGGTCCATACACTTAACAGAATTCGAAATGGACATGGTCGATACGGCACCATGATGTCCAGACGACTAAATGGGGTTTAAAACTTTCAAAGACAATTTTGTATGCAACTGTGGTTACAACAACCCAACGATGCGACATTGCAACATATTGTGTTGGAGTGCCCAAAGATGAAGTATTGAAGTTTACCCAAGGTATGGAAGAAATTCATGTAGTGAATACCAATACACTGAAGTGAACAATAATTGAAAATTAGCTTATCTTATGACAATATATGAAATATAACTACAGTACATATATATTTAGTATTGCTGTAACTTGTTACCGAAAGTGTATTAATATTTTCATTTTTAGTTTTGACATTTTACCCACTTATTATCTGTTATTTTACTAATAGCCATACGAACTAAATACATAAATTACAATCAGAGGAGTAAATCGATCCTCTTTGTGGGGGGACTATATAGTAGCTAATACCCATAAATAATAATATTTATAGTTAAATAAGTCCTTAAATATGATTTGTCAGTTCTAAAAAAAAAGTCATGGGATGGGGTACAGCATCCAAATCCCCCTTGTAATGACGCCACCGATTACAACAATATGAGTTATTACTGAAGTTTATTGTTATTTTTCACTTAAATTCAATTTTGTAAAATTCCTTATTTCAAATGTCCACAACAAATAATTTTGAATACCAAAAAATTAATTTTAATATTCTCATTTTCTCGTTATTTTATTAGGTGGAATACAACAAAAACCACAGGTTCATAATAGTTATTCAAATAATTATTTTTGAAAAACTAAGTTTTTTGGAAATAAAAAATAAAAAATCAAGTGAGGTGAGGATTTTTCAACTTGTAAAAAATATTATGACATTAATTTGTTAGATATTTTGACCAAAGCGTGAAATAATTGATTTTAAAATTATGTTTTTTTGTGTACATATATTCACGATTTATAGTAAAAATGATGCACTGACGGACGGTAGTACACAACGGGGATATAGCCACATAGGTATAGTGTTCTTAACATATATTTAGAAATCTAAAATGAATGTTTGCTGGTTGGTTCATCTTCGTCCTTTAAATTCTCAAAAACAATTAAACGGTATTCAATCAGTTATAAAGATAAAGTTATATGAATAGATTCCTTGAGGGAGGGTTAGTCTTAGTTGCTTCGAATTTCAATCTATATAGATCGTTTTAGGGTAGCTTATGCATGAATTTCGTTTGGACTCACGAACATTGAATATTTTTGTTTATCCATAGGATATTGTCATTGGTTACAGACTTATAGATAGTAAAATAGTCATTATGACTGGAAATCATATTCTATATTGTATTATAGTTTGTCATAAATTAGGCTAATAAAGCTATACTACTAGAGACAAAGTGTATGGTTGAGATTTATAAGCTAAAAATATACTCGACCAATTTTGAAAAAAAAAACAAAACGAAAACGATAGGTTTGTCTAATTATAATAAATAGCTGGCTTATGATTTAACCTCACATGTTGGTAGATAGGCAATATAACACTCGTTTAAACATACGATCTTGCATGTCTACATTTGGTTGTAGACGGCGAAAGTAATGGATTTTATTAATTTTATAAAATATAGATAATACGTAAAATATAGTGATATTAAGAAAAAACAAATTACAAAGTGGTATATTTACTGATGACTTGCAAGGCTTCAACCATTGTTGTACGTGCTAAGTATTTATGTTTGTTGTATTAATGTTAGGACTATGTGTATGGAAATAAAGAAAATCGTTTCGTAAATAATTTACAATTCAACATTTCACTATAGGTATACTGATAAATTTAAATACAGATAAAACTACCTACGCTTAATTTCACTATAAGCTACTTTTTTCATATCCAAAAAGGAATTTCTTACTTTTATTAGAAATATGTATCACACAGGGGCTTAGTTTTTACACACAATAACATAGTAATTGCCACTACAATTTCAAACAATTGTTTCGAATAGCAAAATGTTATTATACTTGGCTGGATTTTGCATCAATTTCAAATGATAAAAGAGTGTTGAAAGACATTACATTTTATGTACCTACGTTGTGTATTATAATATTAAAAATTATAATCTGTGCTATGAGGTTGTCTGGGTATAAGAACATAATCGCCAGCAGAGCAAAAATAAAAAGATATACCGATTGATAATCTATTGCAGAGAACTATTAGGTTGACCGTATACTACCTACTTCAGTCTAATTTTCACTTCGTGACCAACATAATATTATAATACCTTATCTTGATAACCAATATTATAATATTACCTAAGTTCCGCATTGTCGATACACTTACAACTTACCCAGTGGCGTCACATCCCATCCAGTAAACGAAATCATATGAACTGCTCAAAAATACGAAAAGTACGAGATCAGAGGTCAATGTATAATATTCTAATCAAAACAGAAAATAAAATTTCCAAATCTACTGCACACCTGAAGTGACACATCCAAAAATGTTGAGGACCGATTGCTTTAGCCCAAGAACAAAAAATAAATAAACTGTAGCTATTGTGAAGTCTGTTTTACTTAATATTGCTTCCATGTACATACCACACACGTCGTGAAAATTTCGTCGAACTTTGCATTCAAACAATCTTTTAAACACAAAATAAATACTGCAATATTAGAAACGGCACATTTCGATTTCTAAAGTTTTTAATATTTTTACTGTGGGTACTTAGGCTACTATAGGATTTCATCGTAAATAAACTATTTATGGATATACCTACGGTGGCACGATAGTCGGAAAAATTAATTATAATACTACGTTCGAAACGACAGAAAATCAAAATCAAACGATTTACGTGATCCGACGACTGGTGGGGGAGGGGGGGGACGTATAATATTATTTTGGATGTGCGCTCTGCCGGTACGCGCTGTCGCCGCCGCTGTCGCCGCCGCCGTCTTCAGTCTTTGGTGTGCCGGCGTCCGCAGAGTAGGAGAACACGCGCGTATCACTCGTCCCGTGTCCCCGGTACCACGGTGAACAGCCCGCCAGTTTTTACTCGTGTGTTGCATCGCGCGCCAAAAATTAAATATATTATTAAAATAATAACCGAGCGTTTAATTATAAACCGTAACCGCGTGTGCCGTGTGATCATCGCCGCCGTCACAATTACAATATTTTATTATTATCATAAATAATATTGTTTAAACGCATTTTCTTTCGAGGTGTCCGGGACCGCATCTCGAGCCCTAAAAAATTTTTTTTAATCGTTTTTCACCCTAGGCAGTGCGTTCGCCCGTACTTATAAATCCGTGAAAAGTGTCAGCCCGAAGTTTCATCTAGTTCAAGACAGTAGTTCTGCTCCGAAACAATTTGCATAGTAAGTCAACATAAATATATAGATAGGCACATTCGCGAATTTGATTGATTCCCGGATTGTTCGATTTGATTTAAGCTAATTTTTTGTCTAAACCGCACATAATGATGTAGTGACTGACTTATTTTTTACATCGATGTGGATATTATATCTACATTCAATTCAAACTTTTAAAGGGTTCATAGGCTTTCCTTAGATCAATACAATATGGATTTTCAAACCTTAATTCATGAATTGATGAAAAAGAATTACATTATGGTAGGCATGTGCGTATTGTATGCATAATAGGTACTATAAACTTATATTATGGTAGGT